GGGATTTAGATGAGGAGAGCAGCAGGCTCTAAGGTATCAACAGAGCATCTTTTTTCTGGCCTCTGAATGGAGAAGCACTTGTGTGACTCCAGGTGGGAGCTGCCTGAAAGATTTTGTAGCCTTGGGTTGGGGTGGGAGTTAGGTTATGCATTTATTCCCAAAGTAGAGGTAACTGGTTTGTTTATGGATGGAAATGTCAAGGCTGAAAATAAACTAACGCAAGACAGCACCACTGGATAATGGCAGACCTAGAACCAAAGCCGCAGTTTTGGAATCTAAACTCCGTATTCCTTCCACAGCCCTGGACCAAAGCTCTCCTTGCTTCCCTGCTAGCAGGTCATAACAATTGGTAGTTAGGATGTTTGCTGATAGTGGGCTCATGAAAGAGTCTGAAATCTCTTTGAGCTTGCATTTTTAGCAATTACATATCTTTTACATATTATCATATGTGAAAATTAAATCAGAATGATTACTATTATTGATCACAAGCCTAACCTTTGTCAAATGGTTTGCATACGGTGTTTCTTTGCCTCCTGATAAGCCCTGCAAGGGAGATTTTTTACTCTCCAGTTTGTAGATGTAGCCACTGAGGCTCGGAGATGTTGCATCACTTACTGGGGGACACAACCCAAGTGAATTTAGAGCCAGAAATGGAAGTGAAATGGCTAAGATAGAGCTGAAGTTTCTCCCACTACATTGCACTTCTGTCCTGGAGCAGATGGTCGAGGGAGAACTGACAGGGATGATGGAGCTAATTGTGAAACTTGTAGAATTTGGTGTCAGGCATGAGAGTGCAGAGTGAGATCCAAGTCTCAATTCTTTGGCTCCTTAAAAAACTACAGAATTGTACCAGTTTTCTATTGTTGCTGTAACAAATTACAAGTCTAGTGGCCTAAAACATTTTTTATATTACAATTCTGCAGGTTGGAAGTCCAACACAAGTCTCACTGGGCTAAAATCAAAGTGCCAGCAGTGCTGTGTTCCTCTCTGGAGGCTCTGAGAAAGAAACCCTTTCCTTGCCTTTTCCAGTTCCTGCAGGGTGCCCACCTGCCTTGGCTTTTGGCCCACTTCCTCCATCTTCAGACCAGATGCTTGCATCTTTTGGACCCTTCTTTCATAGTCGCATCTCCCTTGGGCTGGCCACAGCCAAGAGAGGTTCTCTGGTGATAAGTGGCCTTGTAATGACATGGGCCCGCTTGGAGGATCCAGGGTGATCCCCCTTCTCAAAAGCCCTTCCCCCTCATCACATCTGCAGAGTCCCTTCTGCAGATGGAGAGTAAAATATTCACCAGTTGTAGAGGTTAGACCATGGCCATTTGGAGGATCTTTTCTTCTCCATATCACGGAGAGACCTACTTGGAATAAAATGCTACCCAACAAAATGTTTTCCAATCGTTCTGGGAAACATTCACTGACTGCCTCCTCTGTGACAGCTACTTTTCAGGCACTGGGGACACAGCGCATGACACACAGGTGAGGTCTTGCCACCACGGACCTCATAGTCAAGTATCTCTCACCCCCAGAAGGAAAAAGGTGCATAAGAAAAATCTTCCATTTTATGATGTAATACCCAGTATTTTCTATGACCTAAAACTTAGTGTATTCGCTGTTTTGTATGATGGAGACACACACACATACAAACAGATGTACTGGCAATCTTGTAACGTCATTTAAACTAAAAATTTCACCACCTGTGCTTCTCAGTCAA